AGTTGATGTGATAAATATTTCACTTTGTATCAGCCACGATTATATTGGTTCGTGTGAAACAACGCTCGACAAGCTATTGAGCAATGAAGACGTCGAACTGCCTGTGATTTTTTTACACTTTTTTAATGAAAAATTTCTCATGAAAGTTTTTAATTCTGATATTTTTTTCTGTGCAATGCTTATGAGCGCTTCCTGGTAATACTAGTAGTACTGGATTTCATAACAACTTCATAAACGACCGTCGTGACCCTCGTTTGTTTTTAAATATTTTTTACCACTCACTAGCGCGCGACGTCCACGGCCGCAATCAGGGCAAACAAACGTTTCGTCCATCAAACTTGCAAGAATAAAAATAGCCATTTGAGCTCAAGAAATGATCCACACTTACATCGAGCTGGCTGTAAATTTAGCTGAAGCTATGCAACTTAGGATCGAAGATCTGGCCCAGATGCAGTGGCTACTTAAGAATTATTCAGAAACACAGTTAATATGGGATACCCACAGCAACTGCCAAATTCAGTGTTGCATTTCTAATTGCATGTTTACGTCTCATTCACAAACGTCAGGAAAATCAACAAACTGGCAAAATGCGATAAAATATTGACCAAAGCAAATCCTCTACATCTATTTCAGTTTCGATTATAAAGCAGAATTATCACAGACACTTTTACAGCTAATCAACGAGAAGAAGCTTGATAAGAAAGGCACTAAATACAAGGAATCAGGTCGCCTGTTATTTGCCAACGTCTCCGTTTTTCACGAGAACTCGTTCATTGATTACATCGCTGGTGGGTGAGTTGTGCTTATTCCGGGAAAAGTTTATTCAACAGCTAAATTTTTTTCGTGCTTTTCTACTTAAAGGTTTTTTTTGAGTTTTGACTCATTTAGAAGTTTTTTGTTTAGTTTGTGATACTTTCGCGCCCTGTTCGTTTTAGCCTGGTTATCCTCATTAACTGAGCAAATATGAAAGAGGGAAATCGTACCAATTTTTTGAATGCAATAGAGTTTTTTGCGAAAAAATTTGTTTAGAAGTCGAGTTTCCAGAGTTATTACATTGTATATCGATTTGCTCAAGGAAAAGAAATAAGGACGGAGAAATTAGAACTCTCTTTTTGGAGAATCAACAAATAGATTTTCTGTAGGTACTAAGACTAAACATGTACCACTCCGGGACTTTTCAGAATATCAAACCTCTGATTAGAGAAACATCCTTGCCGGTATCCTGAAATCCCTATTGTAATTGCATATGATTCCGAAACTCTTCAGAACGCAGCTGGATTTCTTCGTTGCGATCGATATGACGGCATCGAACGGTCGTGTTACTGATCCATCATCACTGCATTTCATCGGGATCGAGCACCCGAACGAATATCAGATTGCAATTAGTGCCGTAGTCGAAATCTGCCAACATTACAATCGGACAAAATTATTTATGGCTGCTGGCTTTGGTGCTAAACTGCCAAATCAGGATCGATGCAGCCATTGTTTTCCCCTGGTGAGTCAAATTCTTTGCCAGTTTTGAATATTTCGAGCTTAGTTCTTTTAAATCTCGAAGACGGTCAGCCAATTTTGGCTTGAAAAACGAAACTTTCAATAATACAATATTATAAATATTTTCTAACTGGTAAATCAGCTTGGCCAGCTTTTTCTGACAATCTTTACATATTCACCTCAACACCCCTGCGCCTCTGGCACATTACCACTGTTGACTTTTTCTTCTTTTTTGATTCTTCTACTTATTCACTCCTTGTTAATACTCCTTTCTATTTTCTTATTATTATTATTACTTATTAAAAAATTAGTTCGATAAAATTATATCCGATT